CACGGGGGGACGCGTATCGAGGCAACAAACACCGACAGGCCAGGCACAGGTGTAAAGGCAGAACGGATACATAAGGCATTGACCACTTCTGGATACTCGTCCATTGCAAGCTGCTTGCTGATGGCACCAGGAGAGCAGCTGTAGAAACAGAGCCGTCCCTCCTCAGCCCGAAACAGCCAGAGGGCAGGTGCTGTCCCAGCATTTCAGTGCTTTGCAGTGACCTGGGCTGCAACGAGAAGTGAGGTGATGGCAACATTGGTGACTCCCACAGCCCCCCCGTGTCTCGGAGGCGCTGAGGCTGCCAGAGCTGGGAGCTCCACGCCGGCAGGGCCAGGGGTCCCGCCAGGCCGGGTCTCAGGGCACTGGGAGGGCGTCCGGGCGTCACCTGGGACGTCACACCACTCTCCCCTCCGGAGATGTCCTGTCTGGGGTGAGGAACAGACCAGCAGCAAAGCGGGAAGTTGTGACTCTTTCCTAATAACCCATGAGGGGCGTGACCAAGAGGAGCCGTGCCAAGGACCAGGGGGAGGTGGGGGGCATTTAAAAAGTGTAACAGGGGCAGGGCCCCCTCCCTAGAGGATACGTGTTACACGTTAAGGCATCATGGTTACAGGGAACATCCACAAATGAAGCTGCCGCTGCTCCCGGGACACGGAAGCAGGCCAGGTGTGATTTCAGCCAACGAAGGGGTTCGGGAGCTGCCTGGCATCAGAGCTCTGCAGCTACGGGGAGGCAGGAGCTGCCCCGAGCTGTGCGCAGGAAGCCAAGCGCAGGGTCCTGCACAGAACACGGAGTCTCTCCCCTCCAGCACCCACCGGATGAAGGAAGGTGAGGAGCAGCGCAGGGCCTGGCGAGGGAGCGAGCGCTCCCGCTCTGCGCCGGGGCAGCACGGCCTGGGACGGGCAGCTGCAGACCTGATGCAGGCAGCAGGGTCTGGTCAATGCACTCGGTGATGCTCTGGGAAGGGGGCACGTTACAAAACTGAGCTCTCTGGTCAAATCATAAAGGGGAGTGAAGGGTCAGAGGGTTCCAATGTCAGCACTTTGGTACGGGGGGGGATTTCTACGGTAATTCACGCTCTCTGGGGTTTGGCCTCGGGAAGGGCTAGTCCTTCCAATCCTTCTTGATGGTCAGGTTCCACTCCCAGGACAGGTGGTCAGTCTTATCATCGTCTGTGAACTTGGATTTGACGTTGTAGCTGCCCCGGGCCAGCATGCCCTTAGGGGCTTCTTCCATGGGGGTCAGAAACTCGTACTCCTCTGCTCGGGGGCCGTAGCTCCCAACCATGTATTCGGTCTTGTCAACTAGAGGAAGAAAAGAGGCGTAAGGAGGCTGTGTGAGAGCCTCCCCCGCACTCGGGGCAAGGCTGAAGCAAGCGAAAGGCCTGTCACTGCTACAGCAATCCCCCGAGTAGCTGTGAGAACAAGAACGGCACCTGCACCCACAGCCCCCTTCACTCCAGGAACAGCTCCTCATGCCAGGAGCGACCCCCCGCGCCAGCAGTGCTGTCAGCAGTGATCTCCGGCAGGGACTGCACATCCGCACAGCCAGCAGCCTCCACAGCGGGCAAGCCCCCATCACCACGGGGAAGGAGCAGAAAGCGCTCGCACGAAGCAGTAACCGGGTCAGAGAAGCACTTACTTTTCACGCCTTTCCGGAATGTGTGCTGAATATACTTCAACCCCGACACGATCTCCCTGTTAACCTGCAGAGACACAAGCAGGGCCTGGAGAAGCTGCCTCCCGGACATGCTGCCCACCCCCCACAGCAGGAGGCAATTTCCTCCCCCCAAGCACCTCCCAGAGCTCAGCACTCCCTGTGCTGGGATTGCAGCCATCCCGTGTTCCAACTGTTCTCCCGTTTTCCGATCCGAGTTCTTACCCTAAAGGAGATTTTTATCCGGTATTCCACCCCCTCCTTCAGCACAAACGCTTGCTTCTTGTAGCTCTCCAGGTCACCTGCAAGGAAGGGAGAGGGTTGCTCGAGTCCCTTTGTGTTGTGCTCTGGGGTTAATTTACGTTGCGGGAGTATCGGGACGGTATCTGCAGCCGCAGGGGATGGCCCGTGCAGCCTGGTGGCATGCAGTTCACCCTCCCTGCTGCAGCACCCGAGGCAGGCAGCGACGCCCTGCAAAAGGACGCTGCAGCGCAGACACACAGCGAATT